AATTGCAGAACTTCACCTTAGTGCTGCTTGTTGTCCTGCTACAATGCACAGTTCCACACAGAATCAGACTGCACTGCTTCACTCAGGTTCCCTTGGTTACTTACTTGGGAATAAGGTCTGCACAGAATACGGTGAAATTCAGAAACTGCATACAGAACCTCTGACAGAAGGGACTTAAATACCCCATCAGAGAGAACTGGAGGTTCCGTGGCATCCTAAATTCAGTTCAAACTGCACTCATCCTTTGATTTCTCATCAGTGAGTTTCTGCCTTGGAGTTCCTCGCTCAGGAAGTTAGAACTTAACTACCCTCCATCTCACATCTCTGTATTTATCTTATTTTTACTGTTCTTGTCTTCAGTTACACCAAAAGGATGGACAATACTCTGACCTCTCTGGGTTGACCACACATGTGATTGTAAGAACTGCGGTCGCTTTCGTCAAGGTCGTTAATGAAAAAAACATGAACCCAGTCAGCCACAAACTATTAAATTGCTATTGCCTCCTCAAAGCCAACTGCTTACACACTCCCAAATCTCACCTGATCCCCTCTACAGCATTTTAAATGGCCATTTCCTATGTACCCTGAAAGCAACTCTCCAAGAAAGGTGGTTCATCCGACAGAGAGCCTCTGCTCCCTCATTCAAATAATAATTCCTTCAAAATACAGCCCAGCAGCTGGACATGGCAAAGCCCAGGCCTTCCCATAGCAACTCCAATCAAAAGCTGCTTAATAATGATTAGCAGTGATGTATTTCAGAGGGACACCATCAAACTAAAGCAACATCCACACTGGGTTTTTTGAAACACTTAAACAACAGAAGGCAAAGATCCATTCTTCTCTATTAGAAACTAAAAAAATGTGTTTCTTCAGTTTCTTTACCTCGTGCTACAAGGGCAGAATCACTGTTCTCTGTGCTACGCTGAGATGAAACTAGATGATCATTAGTCCTTTTCAACCCCGGTCATTCTATGATTCTGTGAGGAATCTGTATACATTATTTCTACCCTTGATGGCAAACCTTTTATTGCAGAGCCATACAGCAATGGGAAAGGAAAGGCACAGACACAAGAAGATGAAGAAGAGCCCAGGCTGAGCTTAATCCTGTATGGGGCAAAAAACTGGGAACGTTTCAAAAAAAGAGCACAAAGCCACCAATGCTTTGGGATGCTAGCTAGAAAGTACCAAATAATGGAACTGAACTCAACAATACCTTTTCAACAGCTCACATTCAGGGCTGACATAACAGCAGGGTCACAACATCCAGCTGCATCCAGTTGAAATGGAGAGCCTCACTGAAGCAAGCCCTATCCAGCTCAGAGAGAAACCTTGAGCTTTAGCTGTTCAGGACACAGACAGGCCAAATTCAGTTCTACTGTGTGCGTTTAAAATCAGGCCAATTATTTAGGTTTTTAATCGTGGGCTCGGAAGACTAATTTAGGCACTTCCTAAAATCTTGGTGTAGGTGACTGCTATGCACATCTTCATGCTGAACTTCAAGGACAAGGCACAATTTCCAGAGCTCAGCTTCTCCAGAGATCTGTGTAAATCTGTTCTTAGCCCCCAGAAACTGAAGAGAAACCACAGCTGCCATTCAGGAATACTACTTTACATGTATGTATACTGCAGAACAAGCCTGACATCCCAGCTACTGCTGTGTCCTGACAGAGGGCACAGCATGATTCCTGGTCCCAAAAGCAAGTTGAACCAGGACAGAAGGAAAGACAGGCGATATCCTTGAAACATGTGATGCTCACCTCAAAACCAGGCCAGAACATCTGCACCTGACTATACTAAAGCCACCTCAGAAAGTATGCCAGAGTCCCCATAAAGCCAGGATATGTAATTCTTTCTTAAGGACACTTTCTAGTCTTGTGGCTTGACTACATGTAATCCATGAACGTCTTGATTACAACTTTAATCTGATTTTAATTATGTAGCCCACGCCCTTGGGCTGCATGGGCCCATGAAAGAATTACAGCACACACATAAACGTGAAGCAAGGTAAGGGAATGCTATCGAGACAGATGACAAATAATAAGTGCTGTCCTGAGTTGGTTCAACTGTTGGAAATAAACAAGAATAAGCGTCCTATGGACTATGAAGAACTGAGCCACAGCAGCATGAGAACTAAACCAAAGCCCAGACTTCAACCATTGAAACCCATGAACTTCAGTCTCTGGAAACTGAATACTACAACATTATCCATATTAGGGAAGAACACATACAATGACAGGGGCAGAACTCAAAACCACCACATGTTTAAAGACAAGAAAAAAACAACTACTTAGGACAATGATGTTTAAGATATATTTCCTATATGACAGGTTGCTTGCAGCCCTTACAGCAGCTCCATGAGGAGGCAGAAAAGAAAACATAAGTAAAGACTATGACTTTGGTTCCAACACAAGTTAACGAGATTGGAAGGCACTCCCTGCAGAAGCAGCTGCTACTCACCATGAAGACTCCCTGAAATGTGATGGCTTCTGAGCACCCAGAGCTCTCCCTGCTAAGATCTACCTGGCTACCAAAGTTTGGGATATGTCCACACTGAGATTCTCTGGAATTCAGAGCTTCAGACTGGTCCAATTCTGCCACTGCAAGCCACTTCCACTCTACAGAACCCTGATAATGAAAAACTCATCACTTATTGAATATCGTAACTGCGTGCTCTTTGGTTTGCCCTGAAGCAGTAAGTACTTTCAAACTGTGAGCTAGAATCTGTAATTCAGTAGATTCTAAGGGAGATCATGTAAATCTTTAACAAGAAATACATTCTACTCTTTCCAGACTAGAAGAATAAACCAGAAGTAAATAAATCCAGCACGACAGGAGAGATCCTCCCTCCTGCTGGATGAGGCAGTGGAACACCACCAACCCTAAGTGCCCCAGTTTCCATTCTCAGTTGCCTATATTCTTTGCAGAACACAAATACTGTGACTGGTAGCCATCTATATTGGCTCCCTGCTTCAACTTACTTTTCTTCAGTTAATGAAACTACTTACCTGCTTCAAAAGTGTTAGCCAAGAACTTTATGTTAGCCCACACAAAAAGGAGTTATTCATTGAAATTAACTGCCACATCTTTGCACAGCAATTTGTGTAAGAATAGACAGAGTCAGGTGTGCCTTTACTATCCTGCATAAAGCTTGTATGAAATATTATGATTTGCACACGTACAATAGAGGTGTACAGAAAAATAAGGAGCTCCCTTCAAAAGCACGAGTGTCCAAACACAAACTCTGGTTTACTTGTGAAGTACTTCAGGAAATTATAGTAAAAGAACATTCAGATTGAAGAAAAAAGGAGAAGGAAAAAAAAAAATAAACAGATTGGAATTGTTAGGAAGAAACAGGGCCCCAGTCTCCCAAGATGACCTCTTACTGCTAGGTGTGAAAACTCCAGCTTGGATCACATCCCAGCGCAATGGACTGTGCTTCAAACCTGGGTCAGGTCAGCAGCAGCACGGTGCAGAAAGCTGCTTGGCTGTGAGCCCCTGCCCTGCCTGCAGCAGAGCCAGAAAGCAATAGAGCTGAAGAGGCCCTTCACAGGTACAGTCCTTCTCTCCACACGGTATTTCTTTAGGAACTGTTCTGCAACAGCACTCAAGCAACTGAATCTAAGCATTAAGCCATACTTCTCCCAGCTGTTTCATCTACAGGTTCCAGTGGTAGAAACCATTCAAATTTATCACCAAATGTAACGTAAGTTGTTGAGCTTGTTGAGTTGTGAGTTGTTTGATACTGTCGTATCCAAATGCTAAGAAAAGCAAACTAGCTTTCAAATTTCAAGCTGGATATCCAGAAGGTACTGAGCGTGAAGCTCAGAGGGCTGGAGCACCTCTCCTGCAGTGACAGGCTGATGGAGCTGGGGGTGCTCAGCGTGGAGAAGAAAATGCTCCAGGGACACCTCATAAAGGCCTTTGTGAAGGGAGATTATAAACAGGAGAGAAACCAACTTTTTGCACAGGTAGATAGCGATAGGAAAAGGGGGAATAGCTTTAAGCTAAAGGAAGGTGGATTTAAATTAGATGTCAGGGGAAGTTTTCCCTCAGAGGGCGGTGAGGCGCTGGCACTGCTGCCCAGAGCTGTGGGTGCCCCATCCCGGGAGGTGCTCAGGGCCACAGATGAGGTCCATGGCAGCACAACCTGGTGCCTGATGTAGCATCAGCAACCCTGCCAGGGCAGAAGGCTCGGATCTGGATCATTTTGCGGGGTTGCTTCCAACCCAACCATGCTGTGATTCCATTTGCTGGTTTGATCTAACTCACACTGCTGTGTTACAGATCACCATCTTGTCTCATAGAGATGCTCGATACCGCCTAGACCCAGCTCAAACGTTATTTTATTCGAGATTTAGACGGCTTTACGATTTAAACGAAAACTGAGAAGCACGTTGTCCTTGCAGCGGCTCATCGAGCGCTGCTACCCAGCACGCACAGCCAGGATCCGCAGCCGGATGACGGTGCAATCGGGGCCCGCAGCCACGCACACGCGTGCGGGGAACTCGCACCAAAAGCTGCCATCGCCTTTCAGCCCCGCCGTGCCCATCCACCCCCGAGCAGCGCAGCGGGGCCCGGCCGAGCAGCGGTGAGGCCCATCCCGGCCGTGCCGCGGGCAGAGCGCTGTGTAACCGCGACCGGCTCGGCCAAAGCCGCGACGCAGCCCCTGCAGCCCATCGCTCTGCCCGGCTTCCCGCGCTGCCTCCATCCCGGCCCGGCCGCCCCGTCGCCGCTCAGAAGAGACGCAGCTCTACTTCAGCTCGGCCCCACGCAGCGCCGCCCCGCCCCGAGCCGCCCCCAGCGCCGAGCCGGGCCTCCTCCGCTCCAGACCCCCGAACCCGACGCTGCCCCGCGGCCCGGCGGCTCCGTCTCCTCGCCCGTGAGGCTCCGCAGCCCCGCGGTTCGCCCCGCCCCGCCGCCGCTCCCCCGAACCCAGTCGCGCGGCCGCTCTCCTCGGCGGTTCGCAACGCCGCAGAACCGCGCGGCCGCGGCCCGCTCACCAGCTGGGGCATTCGAAGAGCGAGAGGCCGCCACCGCCTCCGGCCGAGTTCGCGTTCGCCGCCATCTTGTATCTGCCCCATTCAGGCGGGCCGGGGGCAGCCGGGAGGGGCGGCGGGAGGAGCGGCGGAGGCGTCCCGGCGTGCACCGCGCCGGGCTGGGGCGGAGCCGAGCAGCGCCATCGGCGCCAGGGCGCGACGGGCGGGCTGTGCAGTGCCGCTTCGGAAAGCGCGAGCGGTGCTCGACGTTCCTGTAGAGCGCCTGGAGCCTCCGGAGCGAAAAGGACGCGGTGCTTTGGAGCGCCACGGAGGCGGTCAGAGGGTGGAGCACCTCCGTGTGATGACAGTCGAGGTCTCTGCTGCCCGGAGAACGATCGAGGGGACCTGAAAGCCCTTCCAGGACCTGAAGGAAACTGGGCAGGGACTTTTCATGAGGGCGACAGGACGTGATTTTAAACTGGAAGAAGGTAGATTGAGACTAGATGTTAAGATTAAAGGGGGCTGGAGCACCTCCCCTACGAAGACAGGCTGCGGGAGCTGGGCTTGTTCAGCCTGGAGAAAAAAAGGCTGCGGGGTGACCTCAGTGCCTTTCAGTACCTAAAGGGAGCCTACAGACAGGAGGGGAATCAACTCTTGGAAAGGGGAGATAACAGCAGGACAAGGGGAAATGGTTTGAAGTTGAGGGCGGGAAGATTGAGGTTGGATGTCAGGGGGAAGTTCTTTGCTACAAGAGCAATGAGGTGCTGGAACAGCTGCCCAGAGAGGCTGTGATGCCCCATCCATCCCTGGAGGTGTTCAAGGCCAGGTTGGATGGGGCCCTGGGCAGCCTGGGCTGCTGTGAAATGTGGAGGTTGGTGGCCCTGTGTGTGGCAGGGAGTTGGAGCATCGTGATCCTTGAGGTCCCTTCCAACCCTGGCCATTCTGTGATTAAATTACTTACTGTGAGGGCATTTCATGCTGAAGAATCACAGACTGCAGTGCTAAATTGGAAGAGACGCTGCTGGTGCTTCTATAAAGCAGACTTACAGAGGAATCTGCAATCACACTTCTGGTACCATTTAAGCTGCATGAGAAAGAAGCTCTGGCAAAGGCTTTTAAAAGTGTTTATTGATAGTTATTGGAATGATGGCGCAGTAGTGCAAACCAATGTGCAATTGGGAGAACACCCTCCCTTCCCAGCTTTCACATTTACTTTATTACACAGGAGACATGGAAGAAGGATTAAATACAAAATGGGTCAGTACAATGCATTTACCACACTACGATGGGCTTGAGACAGGTTACTGATCCCTCAGTGCATGTCAGTTTAGAGCTACAACAAAGCAGGGAGTGACTGCTACGTCTTGACCAGCTCTGCTAGCAAGACAGCTAGAAGCAGCAATCCTTAATTTGCACACACATCCTCAGTCTCAAAACCTTTGCACTTTGCTCAGCCAATTTCTGCACTTTGTTTCATAAAGAATGGAAAAATAACAGACATTCACAAGCCACACAATATTTACTGATACATTACAATAAGCTTCAAGAGTCCTTCAAAGCAGGATTTCTCATAATACACATCTGTCTTGTTTACCTGTAAGCTTAGGTACCTGCTTCCTCATCTTTACACCATTTTCTCCCCGAAAAATCAATTAGGAGCAAGAAACTCAACTTGTATTTTAGTGCTTTGAGAGTCAGCATTGAAAGAGATTTATTTGTCCAATAGTAAACCATCAGCTAATTTCTTCAATGACATTGCACTGCTAGATAGGATGTCCTCAGACTTACAGTACTCAACTGGTGCATTAAAAAAACCACAACCCCAACCATGCACAAAAATTAATAAAAACAACGAGTCTCAAGGCTAAACTGACTGTTCCTAAGCACGCAGTTCTGATCATCATCCATGCATACTTCTTGCTTCTCAGATCTGCAGTGGCATCTTTCTCTTCAATTGAATTTAGAACCACAGTCACCCAGAGACCAATAAAACCATGGGGCAGATATCGGAGACTTGAGAAACTGCTGGATTAAGGTAATGAAAGTCGGTGTTGTGCCCTCTTTGAATGTCATTCTTATTCCAGTCCAAAGTTATCTGTACATATAAAAAGTCAAATTTCTGCCACTTGTCAAAATAAACAAGACATCTCCAATTATTGATCACACTTCAGCATACAGTTGGGACAGGGAATAATGCATTACAGAAAGCAAAACCACAAGATGTTAGTTACATAAAACAATATAATTTGTATATAAACTGATAAATACTGTCTCCATGGTTCACTAATTCCAAATACTAGTTGTCTGCACATTAGTTGCTAATAACTATTACTAGAAGTAGTTCCAGCTTGTGCTCTCTCAGGGTGGTTTCATTTCCGAGACAAGTCTGCCTGTTCGTGCTGGGGGAAAAATATTCTCAGCAGTGAGACAATGTTCCACGTGAAGATCTCACTTTGCTGTCCACCAGATAATTAATCCTATGATTATAGAAGCCACAGCAAGGCCAAGAATCAGGATACAGATCTTCTTGCGGGATTTCTTCTGAAGAAGGAAAATAAAAAAGCCACTGATAAAGAGCAGATGAGGAAGAAAAAGCAAGTTTGCCAGTTCATGTTACTGAATTTGGTGAGTCAGAGCACTCAGTACCCATAATTATTCAAGGGAATTAACAAGTACCATTTATACAATTTCACGTTCCTTAAATAGCATAAGCCACAACTAAATGTTTTTAGTTTTAGGTCTAAGAAATGCAATTAAATCAGAATGTAACAAATTCTGCTACTCTTAAGGCAAATTCAAAATTGTACCTCAAGATAACTACAAACAGGGAAGTCAGCAACACCTAATATACATTTCCTGCTAAGGTCTGCCACCAAGGCTGCAAAGGAAAGCTAAACATCTCTAGCTATTGGGATCTTCCAGCTAAAACAAATGAAAATGCCATTCCTGTGATACAATCCCCCCATAGTCTGGTGCAGAGATAGCACTGCATTTCTACAGCTTAAATGATGCAGCATACAGTTACTGTACTTAGTTTTACAGCTTTGAACACTTTCTTCATCATAGGAAGCCACAGTCTGTCCATGTGCACTGAGTATTTTTAACTTCACATAATGCTCTGAGTCTGGTTATGTATAATCACTTCCTTCTCTGTCTAGAAAAAAAAACACATCTAATACGTGCCTGTCTTGGTATACTGTCTTGGATGGATTTACTGCCATCTCAAAACATTTATAAATACTATGTGCTGCCAGGTGGCAAAAGCTACTTTCTTCTTGCAGTTAAACAGCACTGAGTGTAAAGCTTTTCAGCATCTCAACACTTAAAAGCACCCAATTTTTTTTTATCTTGTGTGGGAGCAGACACCTTTTTCCTCACAGAACCTGAGCCAACAGTCACAACAACCACAGGTGGATGAGTTCAGAAGGCAGCTCTGGGTCTCTGTCCAACCACTGCTCAAGCAGGGACACCCACAGCACACTGCCAACGACCACATCCAGGCAACTCCTCCAAGGAGGAGAATCCACAGCCTCTCCAGGCCAACTGTTCCAGTCACTTGCACAGCACAGAAGAGCTTCCTGATGCTCAAAAAGGACCTCTTGTGTTCCAGTCAGTGCCCAGTGCCTCTCGCCCGTCACTGGGCAGACATTTCCACCAACAGGAATGTAAGGATGCTATGGAAACCATGGGCATCATAGAAATGATTTAAGCAGCAGTGAAAACCAATGCAGAAGAGGTGACTGGACAAGGAAGTCAGATCACAGGTTGGAAACTGAGCAGTTAGAAAGGCGCTGCAAATCTTGGTCATCACGAGTTCCCTTAGTTTGGGCAAGGATTTTATTTTTTAAGAACTTTTTTTTTAAGCCAAGTTTCTTACATGAAATCTTGGCTTAGCTGATATGTTTATAAGATGGCCACAACATGCCAAACTGCTGTTAGCAGAACTGTTCAGCTCTCCCCTGAGAACAACAAAGACAGCTGAACATTTAAACCTGCTGAGAATACCTAGATGGAGGAACAGACTGACTACACCACTCTGAATTAGAAGGCTAATTTCAACAGAATGTTCGAGTCAGTTGCTTTATCTATTCCTTTCAGCACAATTCTGTGGGAGTGCCAAATTGCATGATCTGTTTTTAATGGCCTCTTTGGTGTGCTGCAGTCCTTAGCACCTCGTTAGAGCTGTACCATTACTGGTACTCACCTGTACACTGACAATAATGCAAGCATACATAATTTACCTGATAATAGGCAGCTCTCTGTAACTGCTCACTGGCTCTTTCCACATGAACTTCTGCACTTTCCACATTTGCCTCTATGCTGTCTATGGAAAAATAAGAGAACCTGTAAAATAATTCAGACTTTTGATGATTAAAAAAAAGAAATAATATATATATATTTTATTTTTTTTTTTTTTACAAAATATCAGAAAAATTGAACTACACAGGCAGAATGTGCAACTGAACTAGAAAAGAAGCTTCTTATTATCCAAACACTTACCAATCATATCTCCTTGGTCGTGAATCATCATGGCTAAATCCTTAAATATCTGATTGACATCCAAAATGTCGGCCTGAAGACAAGTTTGACAAGTTATACAAAACACTGGTTACAGCTTTTTTGCAGCCTAGTCCTTAGTGCCTCTTCAGAACATCACTCACAATAACTGAATGGGTACCATCACTCACTGACTCAGGTGACTTGATGTTGCTATTGATGGAACTTGGGATTAACATAAGAGCTTGCAATATTCTCACTGCTCGTTCTTTCTTTCATGTCACAAGCAATTAGCAGAGTAGGGAATTGAGATGAACCCTGTCACGAGTTGCTCCTACCATCTCTGAAGGCCCACCAGCAAACACTGAAAGAAAATATACCTAGTCTCCTTAAACTGGAGCAGGGAGATTTATCTTGGCATCAATCCTTTCTACAAGGAACAGTTCTTTTACCTTCAGGTCTGCTCAGCCCATCCCATTAGATAGCACTGCATGAATTCTTTGGTTTACATCCTAATATTGTTAACTATATATTAACGTAAGTGCAGGATCTGCTCTTCACCTCTAATTGCCTGATTGCCGTTTCTCTTTCTTTAATAAGCTCAAGATCCTGTTCAGTTATTGCCA